TTACATACTAATACATTATCATTTTGCTTTATAGTTTAAATTTATTATCATATTATCTGCTTCATCTGTGCTCAATCATTAACAGATCTTCAACTAAATGGTCAACAATGCTACATATACCTATATCTTTTACATATTCTTTAGAATGTACAACAACAAACTGCTCTGACCCTAACTTAGATTGTTACGATACCTATGGCAATGGTTCAATAAAAGTGTGCTGTGAACCACCATCACTACTCGCTACAACAGGTTTTTTTTTTTCACTGATTACCTCTGTCAGAACAGAGATATTGTTAAACAGTTAAACAAAACTCAAAGCTGATTTAGCAGTCAATCCGTAATTTACCGTCATTAACAGTAATTCCTCTGTAGACAACAAACACATAATGAACTAAATATTGAGTTGGGTATTAATGATATTTTAGAAAGTACTACAGGAAGTACTACAACCCCGACCACAACCACGACCACAACCACAACTACAACAACTACTTCACTTTCAACAATTCCAGTTATTCCAACCATTATTCCCCCCTGTTTTGATTTGGCTGCAAACAGTCGGCTTTCAGACTGCCCTGCTACAGCTCAACTTTGCCAGTTCCCTCTGTACAGAGATTTAATGCGGGTGCAATGTCCAAGAACGTGCGGTTACTGTACTGTAACTCTATCAAGTAAGATAAAATTATGTTTACTCTTCCACCGCACAGATAGGTAAAAAACTGTTCACTGGAAAACTAGGCAGAAAATGTTACCTTCAATCCAACAAATAAGAATAATAAATAAAAAATGAGTGAGATATAAATAGATGGTAAAACTGTTCAAACAAATTTATTTGTGTTTCATTTACCTGTAGGCTTATTTATCAACAACAGGAGTATGCAGATCAAAAATTGTATCCAAAATATGGCTATTCTGAAGCGAAAAAATAAAAATAAAAAGATGCACAAAAACTGTTAATTTACTGTATAGCTGTGACACAAGCTAAACGTTAATAACCTTCCAATAATTAAAAATTTCTTTTTCACTTTTTTTCAGCAAATAGCACTTGTTATGACATGCATTTTCCGGGAAGAAATTCAGATTGTCCAGCTGCGACCCATCTTTGCAGTAATCCCATCTATCTGCAGTTAATGATGCAACAATGCCCAAGAACCTGCGGCTTTTGCTGAAAATATTTCTGCCGTAACAAATTTGTAAATTACGGAAGGAAAATAAGACTATAGTTAAGTGTAGGGAAAAGATGAGATTTTTATGCTGCCTGAATCAGGCGGTATCTATCACCCGGTAAGCCAGCAGAAAATTTGTATTTCTACTACAGTTTTGCAATTAATATCTACTTGTTTGTAACTGCTTTTGAGTTTGATATTTTTATCGATTGTTCCGTAGTATACTTACCAAAAATTGTCAAATAAAGCTCAAATTCTTAACAAGTGGCATTCAAACGATTTTCAGCTAAATAAAGGACAGAAATGCTAACAAAGATGTAAAAAAGTTTCTTCAGCAGAAATGTTCTGCAGATTAAGTTAATCAATTTGCATTAAGCTTAATATTAAACTACAACTTAGTAACTGCTCGTAAAACAGTTCCGTTTTTTAATGACTGTACACATGAAGTGCTTATATTTATTTTCACAGAAATCTTTCTTGTCTCCTATAGGATAATTTCAAACGTAATATCTGAGTATAGCTTAACTCTATAAAAGTTTCTTTGCTTTTTTTTCAATTTACAGTCATATATAATGCTACTAAGGCTTTCTGAGATGTGAAACATCAATAAACTTCAGTGAAATAGTTGGTGCAAAATATAAAACTAGCATCTCAAATAGCATCTCAAAGAAAAATTTTTTCAAATGGACAAATTTATTGTATCACTTACAAGCCCAAAACCACTTAAATTAATATATTACGACAACAAGCATCAGGCTCCAATTCTTTGCGCAGTTCAGGAATAAAGCAACCCATCTAAAAGTGAATCGAAGTTTTCAGGAGTTAAAAAATTCAAAACCTGTAACAAACTGGAAGTAGGGCATACGATGAAGAAAAAAAACAGAAAATTTATCACTACAAAACTATCTTTTTCAATTATAGGGAGCCGCAAGTGTTGAACAAAATTTGGATTGCCACATCCAAAGATTATCCCCTCCATCCGACTAACGAAAATTTCTCGACAATAGTTTGGAGTAGAAATAACCAAACATAGTTTAACCACCAGGTTTGCCAGCGACGAAATTACTGAACCTGGAGACAGAAATATCCGCTAAACGGCTGAACATCAGAAGGTAACAGAGGATCGTTAACAGCAGTCACTATGACAGCCAAACTATTATGTTGACGAATATTCCGGGAAACATGAATCTTTATATTGTAGAAGAATCCGACAAAGCAGCTGAACGTAAATTTGTGTAACGTATCGTCGAAAATGTCTAAAAGATGTACAGGTAATATGCTTAAAATTATTACTTTGTACAACTGTTAAATAAAGTATATATGAAGAAATAACCATTACACCACTGGACTAAAGAACTGATACTGATGATAGAAATCCGTAACTTTAAACAACCCAAAATTCTTCTAGATGTTCACTAATCTACAGTTGATATAAAATAATTCAAACACATATTATCCAGACAAACCCACCTGATTATTTTGCAGAACATGCAATTCCTACCCTCAGAACAATTATCAACGTCACTGGAAACTTACAGTACACACGAAAACTTTTGAAATTTCAGCACTTTCTAAGCACACTAAGCACCCATCACTGATGTACACAAATGTTGAGTTCACTTCGTGTCATTTACCAAAAAACTTCAAAAATTCCACTTGTTCCAACTAATATTGTCAACTACGTAACCTGGCTATGTCCGGCCGACTTCCTGATTGCCCAACTTCGGCTTACCACAACTTCGCTGACCAGCATCCAAATTTTTTGCAGCACACAAGATCTGTTTCGATGTGCACAAACTAAAAACCCTCGACCAATATGCAGCTGTATATCTCTGTACGGTCACCTTTATGTATCCATAATTATTTTACAGCACCCGAAAAGTTGTTGAAGACACCTCAGAACAGAAAGATACAAAAAATCTAGTTGAGATGACGACAGTCGGATTGACAATTTCATTTCTTTCAATCTACTAAAACAAGTTCATTTTTTTTCTTTTGCAAGACTCCTTTGGAAACCCCTCATACAAATGCTTAACTTACTGTAAATAATATAAACATTGTTAGTTAGATGCTCGTTCAGCTAATCAAAAGCAACACTTGAAAATTCCAGTACTGTTGTATAACCCCACTAGCCAATTTTAGTTCTCTGGCTCTGACAGCTAAATAATACAAAATAAGGAAATGCCAAAGCTGCAGGACGAGGTGTTTCAACGAATTTAACCTTGCTAATTAGAACATGCAGAGGAATCAGCACCACTAATATTAAAAAATTTTTTAAAAACTGAAATAACACAAAATCATCCCACACTGTAATAGTCATTAATGCACTACAGCAGCCTCTTCAAAGTGCTCCAATAAAAAATTAAAGCAGAATTAGTTATAAAATGAAGACATCCTTTTATAACAGAACTGAATCAAACAAATATAAGGTTACCAGGAGTTTCAATACTATACATACAGTATTAAATTTTCTTTGCACTTTGTACAGATTCAGTGATGTCCGACAAAGCGGTGAGAGATAAACTTCGCAAGTACTTACTAAATCTTGTTTTTTGCTGACGAGTCCAAGCGAATGCACGGGGAGGAGACGCACAATAGTAGCTGCCATTTTAAATCTTACATATTTCAGAAAGTAAATCAAATGGCCCAGATCAAAACGATTAAAAACATGCAGCTTCATGCGTCGACAATTAAAAAAAAAAAACGAAATTCATTACTTACAAAAAGTTCAATTCAAAATTCCCTTAACAAAATACATATAAGATGCTAAACCAAAAAAATATCCTAAAAGCCAATTTAAGCAGAACAGCCGATAAAGATTTGTTCTAAAATAACCGTCAAAGAAAGTAATAAAACAATTTAAACCAGTAATAAAGTGTCTCGCGGTTTTTAAATTTAATTTACAAGCACAACCCCTATTAGCTAAACTACATCTCGCTTGTAGCTTTTTAAAATGTAAAAAGCAGGAAGAACTTGTATTTTTAATACAAGTTACTTCCTCCAAAGCGCTAGTCGTTACAGCCTTACATAAAAGATAAACAGTGTACTACTATCAATCATTAAAAAGCTTCTCAATTTTACAAACAAGGCGTTCCCTTACTGAAAATAAAATACCTGATAAGACACCCTTTAGAGCCAGACACATACCAGTAAGAAAATAAGATGCAGAAGCAGAAGAAAACAGACAAAAATCAAGGAAGGTAATCCTAACTTGTCCAGTAAAAATGCAATGAGACATATGTAAAAAACATTCACTGATTAAAATGATTAGGAACACAATAAATAAACAAGAGATTTGCTATCAAAGTGTAATTTAAAAAACTTGATTTTCAATACGCCAAACAGACATCATTTAACACGAAACTCACTCGTCAACATAAAAGAAAAAATCAGAAATTAATAGCAAAGACAAAACTTGCTGTAATTCATTTCAGACAGCGTATGACAACGAATCTTTCGTACAGTAACGGAGTAAATTACAATTATTTCCAATAAAATTTGACAAAATTACGGATATCTCTCTACGGCAATACTCAAGTGAATTAACTGCTTTAAAAGTTTCAGTTCGAAATACCTATATACATGAGTCTTAAAAAATTTTTCAATAAGTAATAAGGACCTTGAAAAAAGTAAAGCCTTCCAAAAAATACAAATTTGAAAGTCGAAGAATTCCTAGCTGAAATGACTCAAAAAACGGCACTAACACTACAGCTCGAGAAGGAAAACTGAAAACCCCGACTAGATAAACCAGAATAAAGAGACAAACTGGATTAGTTCAACCTATGAAAGAAATAAAACAAAATTATTAAAAGTAAAATCCAACCGATAAAATCACCGCATGCACTGCTCTGAGGTAATAAGATTGACAATTTCCTGATCATCTTGGTGAAGCAAACCGTTAATGAACTGAGGCTGAACAACACGATTCAAATGCACTTCACTAGATTCTCCATCCTCATAGCTTAAAAGCATTGACAACTGTTGAGAGACACCTTCAAAAACAGAGTTTGTAAAAGCAAACATATGCACAAACAGTCTACGCAAGAGTAAGGCATCCTTCAACTAAAAGATACTACGGCATCCTGTCAAAGGTTGACACTTACGTGGAGGAACATCACTTGTATGCAGCACACGCTTAATTTGTACTGGAAGTGGTGATATCGCACCCGAACTGCGAGGTGACACAACACATCGATGTTCTGGTGCCATGACTTCATCGCACTCTAGCCTCATTTCTGAAAAGATTTGCAAATACAACATGAAAACTGCGCATATCCTGTTTAAGCCGAAAAAATTAAAAATAAAATTTAATTTCATTTATCCTAAAGTTCAAAACTATTTCCATCCCCACTATCCTCAGTAACAAGTATATTACTTCTCGCAAAATCTTCCTTCGCAAGGAGGTATCGAATACAAGAAAAAATTTCGACAGTAAAGCTCATTTTTCTTCAATACTGTCCCAAAACCCCTCATTTAAACAATTAAATCGGGTAATACCATGTGCGCTGGCGCAATCGTCTGAATTCATGCTGTTCGAGGTATCGTCTTTCGTAATAACATCAACTGAACTCGCATCTCTATCAATAACTGCTTGTCTGCCGCCTAAATCGCATTCAAAATAACTGTTTATTTTCTAAGGTATACAAAACACCGTTAGAAAAATGTAATGATTCTCGAGGAATAGAGTTCGAGTAGTCCAGATATTCAAAATAATCCAAAATACGTTCAATAAGCTATGAATTTTAGAGGGGAATAGGTGAAGTAAAAGAAATATCACAGAAAAAAACCACGCAAGAAATTCTGAAAAAGAATCGCCATTTGAAGATCTGAATACATATGGAACTCACCCGGTGAAGAAGGATTTTTAAAAGAAGCGTTTGCTTGAGTACTTCCATTCGTCACTGGACAGGTATGAACAACTACAGGATTCGCAACAGAAGAGGGTTTCGATGAATAAGAAGACCTGAAATGACTAAGATCAATTGCAGTGGGCACTCCCAGAAACAGAATCAAAGTTACATCAAAAAAGTTCCCTGAAAGCTGGCAACAGAGTTTTTAAATAAGGTTACCTTCGAGCACTTATTTTATTCTGTTGGTGCCCGACAGTTACAAAAACCGATGATGATGGAAAATGCCGACTGGTTAAAGACTGCGGATCATTCATATTTCCAATTGACTGAGTGGGCTGTAAAATCTTTTCTACTGATGTTCCCGCGCTAGGATTGCAAATACCACTGGTACAACTTGACACTGGCGAGGATCTAACAGTTACTCCCATAGCAGCAGCAGATGGGTTTCCGTAATATGGCCTGGTGGGATTGCTCCAAGCAGCAGACGACTGCGATGGAGGAACTAGGACTCTGGAAAAACAAGGAAACAGAAGAATAAAATGAACGACTACAAAATTTTAGCAAACCTCAAAAAACACTTCCAAAACAAACCTAGAGTATGGCCGTTCTGAAAGCTGGGACGCCTTGACTGAAATTGTGCCATCCGCAATCCGGCCGTAATAACCATTATGAGAGCTATTAGGTTCACCAGAAGATGAAGTTCGCATCCGTTTGATAATTACTCCTAAAAATTAAAAACAATATTGAGTAAATCAAAAAATCTGACAGCAACTGTGAACCAAAGACACATGCCTGCAAAGAAAAACGCTACCTGATGCGTGGTGTCCGCCTTGAGGTGAAGTAAATCGTGAAATGCTTGACAAAAAAGATGAGGAAACCGAACCTCTAGAAGATGCCGATGTTGCATACGACTGAGATGAGAGACAAGCGCCAGAAGAAACGCCATTTGTGGATGTCGGACACGAGAAAATCGGAGAAATGCGTTTTGCAGCTCTAAATTGAAACGAAAGTATAAGCAACAAATATATGAAAGAACTTGGAACTGGTTAGAAATCCACTTATCTTTGCTTAACTTGACCTGAAAATACTATAATAACTGTTTTTCAAAAAACTTTGTTAGAGCTGTTAACCCCAACTCTTTTAAACCCTGAATTTTTTCCCAAAACTAAATTCATCGAACCAAAGCCTGTACTTTTTTGACAAACTGATAATACATCTGTAGTTCAGAACATTATTAGACCGTTCTAGAAACGATTCACCATCTAGCCTTTAAAACAAATTCATTTTTTTATCATTATCCGATAGAACCCTTTATAACTCTCAAACCCCTCCTAACACTTGAAACAATAGAAGAAAAAAATTAATAATTATTAAAAGTTCTGCTCTTTAGTGACAAAGCAATTATGTTCTCCAAAAGCTGCAAACCTCTTATCAGGATTTCCCCGCGGAGGCTTTGCTTGACCAGGGGAACCAAAATCAAACAGAAACGGGCGGACACGTGCGCAAGAATCTTTAACATTTTCCTTCTGAAACAAGCAGAACAATTAAACAAAAACTGCAGCACAGAGCACCACTTAAGCAATTCCTCCCAACCACTTTGCATAAAAAGAATTGGAGATAAAAATTAAGAAAAAAAAAAAAAAAAGAACAATCAATAAATTCATTTCTCTCTAAAATACGGATGTTATTAAGTGTTGACTGGATAAAATTGTTTTAAAAGCTTCTCGTAAGATGTTCAACCAACTTGGCCAAAATTTACTTACTTGTTTAGGTTTTTTTCGCTTGAATTTCGCTTCTTCGGCGGGCTTGTAATGCTCTTTTTCTTCAACTAAAACGAGAACCTCAAAACTTGGAAAAATCCAATTTTCCATATCACACACAATAAGAATCTTCTTACAACAGGTTTGACCGAACAATGAGACAAACGCCGTACCTCATGACTTAACTCAAAGTAAGAAACTACACAAAAAAATTAAAAAAATTAATTTCATCGGTCAAAAATGTTAATACTCGAAATCCTTTCTAAAGTCAAGCTGTCTAACAATCATACCATACCGCTACTGAATTCACAAGAAGTTATTCATGGTGCATGTTTTCAGTCATGAAAAAACTGAGCTCCCCAACTACTAAAGGGCTTCCAACATAAGCAAATTACGCTTCTAACTCTCAATGCGCAGAGTAATTTCTAACTCTAACTAATTTAGGAAACATTCGTGGACCTTCCCACATCCTTCAAAGACCCAACCTACCTAGCATGTAACAGATAAGAAGTTCGCAAGAAATACAGTTGATTTAACACCATTTTCAAAACGAATTCGTAAAACAGAATTAGGCCCAATAACAGGTTTTATAATTCAAAACAAACTCTTTCTAAACCTTTTAATTTTTGCAACAATAAATTGTTGAATATACCTCTTCGAGCTTCGTAAAATCCTGCGAACCAGTTATCTTAAGAACTTTAGACCCGTGAAATGAACAAGATGGCTTAAAGATAAAAAAATAGCTCCAGTAGTGGTAAAATAGAAAAGAAAAATGTTTCCTCATGATAGCAGGAACCATTAAGCAATTCTGATCAGTGAAAAACCTTATAGAAGCATTAGAACTTGAAACCATCAATTTCCAGAAATAGGCCCTATAAACTGTTATTTTTCAAACCCTTTATGACCTTCTAATGAAGACCATATAGCATAATCAGAAATCAGTTGAAAAAAAACCGCTGAGAAATTTACCAAACATTTAAACATTTGTAAAAATAGTATTTACAACTCTGTAAAACAACTTATTAAACTGTTTCCCTTCTAATAACACATCATTTATTACTATGCTATCACAAATAAAGTTTTTTTTTAACTAAGAGTTCTTCATTGTGCGATAATACAACACTCTGCCAACAGACACCAATTCCAAACCAAATTTTTTATCAGAAGTGATAAAACAACCCAAAATCTATTCTCTTCCAAAACCACTTTAATTCTAATAACTTTTCTTACGCTGCATAACTGATCGATCAGACCGGTTATCTCTGGCTATTAAGTTTCAAATTTACCAAACTGTAGTTGTTTGATTATTTCTTCTCCGCTCGCGTTTTCTCAAAAATAGTTTGAACGGCTGTAAAACTACAAGAAGAGATAAAGTTCCTGCACCAAACAACTCTTCTCCTACAGACTGAGTTTAGTTCCAGCAAAGGGAGCAGGTTCAACAAATCACTTATTCCATATAAAAGTTATTACTAGCTGCTTCACAAGTGTGAAATCTCAGAGATTTTTTGAATATGACCGCCCTCATAAAAACATGTAACTGATAGTTACCTTAAAAAAAGGTATTTCAGAGTTACAGCTGTTGCTCAAATTATTCTGAGATAATTAAACGAAACTGACTTGACTGCTGCAAAGGTCCTTTTATCAATTCTGATTTCTCTGACGTTTTCTCAGGAAGTGTGCTTTGCGAAATATTACTGGACTCAGTGGAAGGTAAAATAACATTCACTGAGTTACCAACTAGACTATGACTCTCGCAGACCTTATTTACTATACCTGAGTCCTCCATAACCTGAAGCAAAGTAGTGAAAGGGATGATGTCTCAAACAACAATATAAACAAAACTCCCATGAAGCAACTTTAAAGTATTTCAATAAATAGAGGATAAATAGCAAAAAACTGAAACAACCTGCTTCTTCTCACTGCAATCATCATTAATCAAATACGGCTTCCCTCCTACTGTCTCAAAACCCATTTTAATCTTACTACTTGAAGAGTTTGAATATGAATCTGTCAAGCATTCGGGTTTCACATTGTTACTCAGCGATCTTCCTCCCTCCGACTTCTCCTAAAAAGCAACAGCTACTTTAAAAATATTTCAAAAAATTTAACAATTTCTTATATACTATGAAAAAAGATCAGCATGTTCAAAACTTTGTGAAAAACAAGACTTAATTTTTCATCCGAGTAGGTGATACATAACACTAAAAACTGCGTTCATTTACTACGACAGTGTCAGGCAGATTTCGAACAAAGCATAAAAACCATATTGTAACCAACCTTTGAACATAAAGTTAAACAAAATTTTAGAAAGATCAC